CAGAATGTGCGTTTGCGATAGTCCCTCACTACTCCCCATGAAAAGATGATTACATTGACAAATGGCTCGTCCCTAGTGGATAGAGGTCACTTATCTGCTGCCGAATGAAGTCCAATTAATTGTACCCCATATTAATGTAGAAATCATTTCTGTAGTTTTCCCCCGGGACAGCAATAGCCTTATATCATCTAATATCTTTTGTTCAGCCCTTCTTTTATTTATTTTTACATGCAAAACTCGTAAATATCACATCCAATTTATTTGCGGACTCCTGATGTGGTATCTTTTTTATTTAAATTGATGCTATTTTTGGGTACACATGTTTTTGTCATAAAGTTACTTTACATTAACTTTGAACCGATAGGCTTCGTTTTGTTCTATATTTTGTTGTTTTTATTTTTCTTTTTGTGGAAACCGTCTATGCATTCAATGAAAATAAGAATCTAAATTTCTAAATCAACCGCCAAAAATGGGTGCCGTTGGAACAGGTCCTTTGAAGCTTGCGTAAATTATCTTGTTACATTTACATCCTTCCAAATTTTTCTAGACTTTGAATCGGACTGGGACTTTTGACTTTGTTTCTACTTACTTACTTCTAAAAGTAGTCATTAAGGACTTGCCGGTACCATCTAGATAGCATTACAATACAACTTGCAAATGAGGTATAAAATTGGTATTACTGGTGCAAACGCAGTAATGTACCAGCCGGGTACGGGCCGGGTCCTAGCAGAAGAAGATACGGAATGGTTTTTTAGTCAGTAAGAGTCTGACACTTTTACTCGGCTCCACTCGGCCTGAACAAGCCATTTGATAAGTACCCCTCTTTCTAAAAACCTTTTTCAAAAAAGTGCTCTGACTCAAGACTGTATTCTAGTCTACCTACAAAAAAAATTTTCTTTTTTATTGCTTTATAATTTGTGCTAAGAAACAGGTTAATATTTTTTTCTGAACAATAATAAACTAAAATACTGCCACAAAATTGTTTAACCTAAAGGAACTCTCGATGACATAAAACAGGTTATCTTTAAGAAGGGTTCACTAGAAATGCACAAAACAATATATTAAAACAAAACACTACCGCCTACCCAACATTAGTCTTTCGAGTTAAAAACTCACACACTTTTGCATTGTCAAACATATTTCTTTTTGCTCTCTGGCTAAACCCCAAAACCATTAGAAAGAACTTGGAAGGGTTTAACAGCTGAGGCAAAGACAAAAAAACCGGCAGCAGATAAAGCAAATTGCTAAGTAGATAATTTTTTATTCGAGTTTTTACAGAGTTTTTATGATTTAAGGACGGTTAACCTTCGCCGACCTCATCATTAAGACCCTCCTCTTGAATCTACCTACAAAGAGGCTAACATTTGCCGCAGAGGAATTTGAGTTTTCATCTAATTTTACCATCAGGGATTCAAAACTTTCTTAGAATAAATCTTTGTTTTAATCGATTGATTCGATTACTGATTGATGGTAGAACGTTTAAGATTATGCACATTTTTAACTGTTTGTCTAAAATAAAAATGGCATACTAATTATAGAAGCCGTCGTTTCAATCTACTTAAATAAACATCAAAAATATGAACTAAAGATGAATAAAAAATATTGATTCAATAAAAAAAATTGCGGACTACTAAACAGCTTGCCAGCTTATTCTGTAAACTCAAACGTATATATAATATGTGTTTACTTGAACTGTGTGTTCGTATAACAAACACACTGTGAACTAGCCTTTGTTTTTTAGTGACTCTGTCATATTTTCTGGTCTACATATTTGTTTGTTTACTTCAGTCTGACAGGTTTTGTGTTCGGATTTTTTCCTAAAATATTAATAAAAAAATATATATTGCGTTCATACAATGTGTGGGCCATAATAAAACCTTTGTCAACATTAATATCAGGTTAGGGGTCGATCGAAGGTTTAATTTTTACAAGGTTTCTCATTTAGAACTGGATTAGTTTGGGTACGACTAGCAACGTTAAATGGACCGTTCCTTTTGTTGGGTCGCCATACCAATTGTCTAAACTTTAAAGAGAATATGATTAGATCGTTTTTTTATGTGATAGTTCGGCAAACGAGTAGAGGGATTACCTGATGATAAGCAATCAGCGCCGCTCATGAACACCCGCAAAAACAGAGGACTTACGAGCGCGTTGCCGACCATTTCGGGTTTGGGATTTGGAGATTTAGGGATTGGGGAGGGGAAGGATTGGGCCTCCGGCGACCTAACGCATACAGTAAAACACAACGCTGTAGTTGTTTTCTCTTAACGCCGGTTTTCTGTGAGGCCGGAGTGACGTGGCGTCACTCCGGTCGAGCCGACTCATTCGTGCCGAAGCATGGCTCTCCGATAATTTCTATGTATGCTCTTAAATCGAGTACAAGACCGATGTATAAATAAAATATAATTAGAAAGTTTACTTTATGGGGGTAGCACTAAACAAGACAGCGACCATTTATAAAGACGAAGAAGATATAAAGACCATTTAGACAAAATCGTTTATGAGGTTGGTATTTTTTTTAGTTTCATGCGATAATGAACCACGTGAATGGAAAGCCAACTAGTAGAATATCCAAGGGCCAGACATGCAGTTATATCAGCGGTAAGACCCCTCTTTGAGAAGTGGCTTGAGAGACGCCATGGCCTCCTCACTTTCCGCCTGACGCAGATGCCTAACAGGGACGGAAGCTTCGGCATGTATTTGCAACCTAAGAGAGAGAAGTCATTCAGAGATCCCCCCCCCCCCTCTCAAAAAACATTATAAAGTCAGTCGATAGCTATAACTAGTCGAAAATGTACCATAAATATAGAAGGCAGGTTTTATTAGTCCTAAAATGAATATACAGTAAATGACTATTAATTTTGCTCACGTCTGCAACACGAGGCAGGATAGATTAATTAACATTATATTGAAACTCAATTATTATCGAGCCAGATAAGAATAATAATAAAAAATATGATATTTTTTTGATCACACGATGTTGAAAGTCTTTTTTTACATCAGTCGAAATTTAAAAGCTTTTGCCGCCATGTACTTTCCTTTTTTTAATTTTTTACTCTTCACGATAGCTTTTGATTTTATAATTTGAAACGGTTAAATAAATAATGATGACAAATCCTACTTATCACGTCCCCACAAACTTGATTTATTGGCTGATAATTATTTACATTCAGTAATTAACTTGTGCTCGTTTCAATTTCAACTGAACTGGACATATGTATAGTATTGTACAAATTGAAGAACTGCAAAGTATACAATAAATAGACATAAATACATTGTTTTGTAGCCAAAGGCTATTTTTCCACAAGAGAAAATGTACCAAAGCTCTAAAAATACGTTTTGTTCCGCACATTTAAGTCGAAAACAGATAATACTTTCTATATTTTCCATATTTCTTGACCACGAATTTATATAACATGTAATCCTCGCAATAACAATAGTTTCAATTCAAAGGTGATATATGTATTTTAGAGCCCAAAGCAGAAGTTTTCACAAGTTTTGGTATTAAAAATACAATTTAAAATGGAAACCGTTTTTAAAGAGAATATGTCTAATACCTTGATACCAAAATTTAATATATTTTAGTCATCCTTACACTCCCTATAACTCAAAGGCTAGATTAGGACAAGCCCCTTATGTTAGAATAGAATACTTTTAGATTTTAAAATTAATTATTGCTGCTGCGCTTCGATAGCGGTTGGGACACATTTCATTAAATAAATTTGGTTAGCTAATGCAAAAATCAATCTCCCCAAAATGTTAGATGCGTGGCAGCATTCAAGATGCATGAATGGTGACAAATTTTTTGTATGTATGCAAACAAAATCGAACCTTAAATAGATTGACATGACATAGCAGGTTTAGACTTAAATCGCATGAAGCCTGATAATTCTGATGTCATAAAGGAGGAAATTGTGAATGACATTTGTAGCCATCATACCCCGGCTGTCCCACTTGCATGTAAAATAGTGGACATATCTTCTATATAAGTGAATCTCCGCGTTAATAACATGTCACTACCATGGTTTTGCCACTTTAGAATCTAAAACAATTGTCTGTTATTGCATGGCGCACGAGCAAATGGACTATTATCAGGCTTCTATCAAAATATATTAAAACCCGAATATTACGACCTAAATTCAAAACAAATTTCCGTTAGCTATATCATAAAATTCGTCAAAGCTCCGGTAAAATTGTCTTAAAATTAATTGAATAGAACGAGCGCGGTCAAAGCTTGTATAACAATATAAATTAATTTCCTCAATAACAGCACGCTTCAATGAGATTTTTCACCGGTTTCAGCGCAGAGCACTCCGCTTTCGGGCTAACAAATGGTACTTATCTGTCACTCTCGAGATAGGGGCGCTGACGAGTGTTGGGTGTCAAAGCTTGTCATCCCAACTACACTCGTACTTGCGTTACACCTATCGCCCGCTCATCGCCATCTGCTCTGTACATTTTTGAACTTTACGAGTATTTATTTTAGACTTATTGCGGTACTGCACTGTGTTACGATGCGACTTACGACATATAAAACCAGTTCATTATGTCACATTGAAAATAGAATTTGTTTAGAGCGTCATTTTTGTCCTGTTCTATGGAAATAGTATCCATATTGATTTGACGACGGAAATGGTTTACTCTTGTAGTTTTATTGAAGTCTTAGAAAAACATATTTAAATTGATAAATACGATTTTTAGTTTGTATGTGAGTATTTTATTACGACGATTAAGCGATTTGATGAGTTTTAAATAAAATCTATTCGAAATGTAAACGTCGAACCAGTATCGATTGCGAGAAAGTTTAGTTAAATAGCGGATGAAAAGTTTGCCTCGCGCCGACCTGAGCTGAATGGACGGATTGAGGATTCATTACCGTTCACGAACAGGTAACTAACTTTGATGAACAAAATTTAACTTTAATTCGTTAAAACGTAAGTTCGAATACTTAATTATAACGCGATAAAGTAACACTTATCAAAACATGAGATTTAACTCACCCTGCGAAAGTTACAAACTTTCAGGTTATTTCAATATCCATAATTCGGTGCACACAAAAAATAGTTCCAATTCACATCAAATCCGTGGTAAGTTATGCAACCAGATCGCAAACAAATGAGCAAGTTTGCGAGTAAACACACAGTGGGTAGATCGAATGTGGACGATGGTCCGCGAGCCGAGTTCGTTTGTGTCGAGAGCGCGGGATGTATCAGTGTCGGGAGCGACCAGTGCGTCCCCACTCTCGTCGCCGACTGGAGCAGGGATCTCGACGGAGTCTGCGTAATAGAACGGCATCCCTACAGATTGCTATATGGGAATAAACGCTAATAAATTACGAACATCGTATACGCGTAACGCGAACGGTACTGTGCTCTTGATTAGTTTGAAGCCAGCCGCTAATGTGTTAGACATGCACCACAGCTGCTTTCGAACATCGCCACTGTTTAGTTCACTCGATAACTTGATACGTTTATGTTCACTTTTTATTTTCTACTGTACCATGCTGTTAATGACTCTCTCGGACTCGCTATTGAGTGCTACTCGGAGGCGTGAAGCTGGTATCTTATGATCCTTTCTAGCTTCGCTTAAAAGTTACCCAAGTACTTTGTGAACGTCTGCCTTTTACTAGCTCACTAATTATTTGTTTTTAATAGATACCAAAGTTGGTTCGAAAAACTTCATTATGAATGAATTAATTACTTATTATTCATCTAAGTTTATACTTTGTTGTAGGTTGTAAATTTGTATAGATAAGGATGAAAAATGTTTTGTGGAAACCATGTAAATAAATGTTTGATGTGGGATTGCGGTTTGTATACCGACATAGTTAGCAAGTTTCACAGCTGATTGATATTCCTACTTCGTCTGAAAGGGTCAAGGGGTGCCGAAATACACATAACTCTCTGAAAAAGATTGCTTTTGTGAGGAAAAAAACACGTGCTTTCTTATTGTTCCTTTTATTTGGCGGTTATTATGGATAACGAAAAAACGTCAACGGACTGTTAATTTTTGATAAGAATTCCTTACTATGGCGGGATTTAGAGGGTTTTTCATATAAATTTCCTGTTTTCAAGTTAAGTATAATAAAAGGTTGATGATGTGATATTTGATTGATACACTATGTGATTTATAAGAAGCGACTATCATCATCTTCAAAATCTCCCCAAAGTGATAAGGCCTTTTCGGTTAGCCTCGTTTATCAGACATTCGGGTCTGATTACCTGTAACGATCGCCGTAGATCTCGCTACGACAACCGGGACCAACGGCTTTACGTGCTCACTGAAGTATGGGTGTGAAACAACACAAACTTCCCAACTCTTATCTCCTACTGGTAATTTATTGATAGATAAACAATGGAACAGTTTTTGCTCAAAATCAAGTACTCTTGGTCCACTATTTGTTACCTGGCTAGGCCAGTGGGTTTCTGCTTTGTTCTATTTATGTAATACAATCTGCAGAAAGTTATTTATTATATTTACAAATAAAAGTATTTTTGCAAGTTATCTTAGGAACAAATATTTTCCGAAATGATTATAAGTACATAATTGTGATGAACGTGAACTTTTTTTTATTTTGACAAACTAAACTAAACAATGGCTCTTAAAATTTGAAGGTATAAAATAAAATACAACATTTTGGTCTGTTTATATTATTCCAGCAATGTTCATTAAAAGTCAGATAACTGTTCTTATGAATGAGACGGCGTTTTGAACAAACATTCGGCTTCATGTTTTTGTTTCATCTATTCTATTTTCATAATGCAAAACGGGTTATTTGCGTTGCTCTTCCGGGCAGCGCCAGTCGACGGGCGCAGTGCTATGCATGAACGAATGAGAACTTTCTTTTAGCAAAACTCTTCGTTTTCGATTTGAGTAATCGAACCATATTCCTAACAACGCAGATATTTTATTTTATGCTTTCTTTACGTCATGGAAAATTATAGAGACAGATTCCCTAAACCTTTATAGTTAATATTAAATTGTTATTAGATAATTATATAAAAACATTGCGTATATTTGGACTGAATTGTAACGTGGTATATTTCAATTCAGTCAAAATCACTAGATACTTTGATTTGTAAGACATAACTCAAACTAAAGACAAATTATCAAAAAAAAAAAAAAAAAAATTTAGTATAAAATAGAATATCGCGTTGGGTCCGTTTAAGGCTTAATTTTGAGGTATACATTGTGTATTCTACTATTGAGTCTGACATTATAGTGTCTAAAAATAGAATAGGTACAAAAAGGTTTATAAAACCAAGGCTTTCTTCTTTATAAAGCTTTGCTTTTCTAGGTAGAAAACCTTCTTTTAGAATTCCATCATAGACTTTACACACAACAATAGTTACAAGCCTCTACATCTAGCTGGGTAGCTAAAAATACTCTTTGATATCATGGTATTTGTCATAACTCATCACATAGAGGCTGTGAACTATTCATACTACACCGTCGTATGATTTCCTGGGAGTGGATTGGTGGAATTGAATACAGAACGTCATTTGCCGACGCATAGCCGAGCGTACGAGTATAACTGAGGGTATCAGCGAACCCTTTGACTCGAGCATTAGCTTCGTTACCTAAGCATGCATCGGTTTGAATGCGTTGTTTTATTCATTCTGTCCGATTTATCTGCATTTCTGTCTTTCTGTTATAGGTATTTTATTCTATACCATTTTTCCGAAGCTTTAGAAAAAGTTTAGGTTCCTACTAATGAAACATTTATTACGTAATGAGATTTGAATGAAGTGCTTGCATAGAGAGTGACTTTAATTCGTTCAAAAATTTCAATGTCCTATTTTTAAAATAAAATCGTATGATATCTAGGTATATAAGAACTAGTAAGTACGAAGATTTATGACATAAAACCTTATATTTACAAGAAATACAATTACGAAAGACGGACCAAACACATTATTTACCAAAATTAAAGAAGCCTACAGGCCTATACAATGCCTTAAATTCCGTAAATACAATTGGTTTATTGGTAAATAAAACTCAATGAACATATTGTGTGCTTTACAAGAACAATCAACGTTAATTATTAATTATATGCATACGAACCAGCGCAGGTGTGGCTGAGGACTATTAAAACTGTGCACTCAACACAAGAATGTATTAAAGAGAAACTTTGATAATTTCGTATTAATTAAACTGTTCGAATAATACGAACACTAGCTTTCTGCCAGCGGCTTTATCTGCATGGAATGTAGCAGATTTCCCATGTGTACGTTTTGAGTCTGTATGTATATTGAGACGAAACTAAAAAGTTATCTCAGGAAGTAGCATTAAGTAATTCAAGCTTCAGAACGAATAGGTCAGCTCGACCGGAGTGATACCACGGCTTCACAGAAAACCGGCATGAAACAAGCACAATGTTATTTTTTGCCGTGTGAGTGAGGTTAACTGAGACCCAATTCTTCCCGTCCCCCATTCAATCCCAAATCCTTAAATACCCAACTCTTTGTGTGATCCACAAATTGTTGTTCCGGGTCTGGGTGTCATGTGTATGTGAAATTGTATGTTAGTAACCGCACCCAAAACACAGGAGAACTTTTTTAATAAAAAACAAAAAAACCCTAATACCCAAAAAGCCGGCAATACACTCGTAACTATTTTGGTGTTGCGGGTGTCTTTACTGTCTATGGACGACGCCAATTGCTTACTTCGTCATCCGCCATAAATAAAATGTGTCACGCTGAAACTTCTTACAAGTCAGTCCATTAATTTTGGAGCCTAATTGACGTAAACACACAGACAGTCAAATATTTCCATTAAGTAACATTAAGTTTGGATATTTGAACATATTCTGAATATTTCTAAAGCACAGATGTGCGAACACAAGATTGACTCTAATGCAAGATTAATTTCTATTTATGCTATGTATGTAACATCAGTAAATTCATTGCTTTTCTATTATGCGATTAGTAATGATTACACTTAGATATCTAAAGGACAAGATTCATCGTGGACCCTAGTAACTAATTTACATAACATGAGTATATAAGGTCTATTCTATTACGCAGTACCTAAGATAGTAGAAGTACCCACTGTTTAGTATGAGCTACAAATACTACAAGGATATGATTTAATTTGATGAGGTCCAAATTTTTTGTTTTTCAATTACATTTCAAATCGTTTCGAAAACTTCATTTGGAGACCCATAAGACCTTTTCCTTGACATGTATTTTTCCCAATTTTTTTCTTTACAAAAACATTTTTCGGACTCCGGTAAATCATTTGAAAGCGAAGAACCAACAGCATTGACCCAGGTTTACTTATTAGAGTATTGCGTTGGTCAATTTATTGACCGACTTTTATATAATAAAGTGGAACATTAAGTACTCGTTGAATATTAATAGTTGTCGTGGTGGCCCAGAGGTTAAAGCGTCCGCTTCTCATACAATGGGGGTTCAAAACCTGTCAAGTACCAATGTGAATTTTTCTGTGGTATATATACTTCTTTTGATTATTTAGACACCACTGACATACGGTGAAGGAAAACATCGTAAGAAAACTGGATTTAAGTTTAAACTCGCCAATATGCCTTAAGCAAGCTTGGTGATTAATGCTCTAGCCTTCTCCGTGTGAGAATAGATCTGTGATCAGCAGTGGGTACTTATGGGCTGATGAAGATTAAGAACTCTTTTCTTATGTTAAACTATAATAATCGGGTTTCCTTTACGAATAATCCCAAAAGTTTATGTGAGCCACGTAAGACTTAAGTAGAAAATCACAGTATGAATCTGTATGGAAGTATTTTCCTTTATGTTGAGGGTTGCGGAAACTACCCGTACCTACCCGTTTTCTAATGTCCTTTCTAGAATATTTTTCGCTAGAAATGTGTCACAGAGACAGTGAGATTTGAGACTGCACAGAAATTGCTAGCGCCGAGAACAGATTAACAGTCAACTATGTAGAATTAGATTCTTATTTTAATGTTGATTTTTATAGCTTTGCGGTGGCACGTAAGTTAAGGCGCCCATTTCTCATGCATTGTTTTTTTGTAAGGGAAAAATCGTCGAATGACATCTCCCAGTGTCGGGTGGGAGGGAGTTAAACTCTTACTGACTAAAAACCCCCCTGTTCCTACTTGCTCTGGGCCGAGGTCGCGGTGCCTCATTGCGCTTGCCCCGCAACCCCGGCTGAGTTTCTCATACTTGAGAGTGCAAAAGCTAGTACCAATGTGTCATTTTTTTCAGATGTATGTGTACTTTTTAAATATATTTAGGCATCACAGACAAA